TCCACGGTCTGCGCCGCCGCGGCCGCCGCCGCCGCCGGCGCGGCCGGCGCCCTTGCGGCCGCAGCGGGGCCGGCTGCGGCCGCATTTGCGGCCCCGCCCGTCATCACTTCTTGCAGGCTGGGAAACTCTTCTGGGGCCAGCACACGCGGCGCAGCCGCAGGCCCCGCCCCGCCTGCTCGCGCGCCGGCCACCAGGGACCAACTCGGGCCCACCCGCGCCGCCTGCGCGTGCTGCTGGTGGTGAGACTGCTGCTGCTGCTGCTGCTGCTGCTGCTGCTGCTGCTGCTGCTGCTGCTGCTGCGAAAGCGGCGGCGTGGGCGGCGGCGAGGGCGCCGCCGGCGGCTGCCTCGGGACGCCCGGCTGCTGCTGCTGCTGCTGCTGCTGCTGCTGCTGCTGCTGCTGCTGCCCGGGCCCAGGCCGGCGGATCGGCGGCGCCCGCAGCTCCAGGCACAGCAACCTGTTGCGGCCCCCCACAAAGCCTGGCTGCTGCAGGCCCATTGCAGGGTCGTACTTGCCCTCGCTGCCGCCGCCTGCAATAGCCCAACAGCTGGCCCACGGCCCAAGCACCGTCGCCGTGGCCCGCCGCCGCGCGCGGCCGCCGCTGCCGCCGCCGCCTGCGGGCCCTGCGGCGGCGGCGCCGCCAGGGAGCGGCTCCGCTTGCACCTCCAGCGCCCGCCCCTCCCCTGCTGCGCCGCACGGCGCGTCGGCCGCACGCGCCGCGCGCCGGGCGGCGAGGAGTGCTTGTGCAGGCGCCTCGTTGGCCTCTTCCAATGTGAACCATTCCGCGGGCTGCCCCAGGGCCGAGCCGTCGGGATCGGCCACACACAGGAGCACGCCCGACTCGTGCCGCGCCGCCGACGCCGCCGGCGCCGCCAGCGCCTCGCTGTCTGCAGCCGACGCGCCGGGCGCGGCCGCCTCCGCGCCATGCGGCGGGAGGACGCATGGGCGCCGCGCGACGAGGCTCGCGGCGCCGCACGCCTGCCGGCCGCGCCGCCAGTGGTCGAGGCAGGCGACCAAGAGGCGCCGCGCGTAGTCGGCGGCCGCGGGGCCGGCGGCGCGCGCGGCGAAGGCGTCCGACGCGCGGGCGGCGGCGGCGGCATGAACATCCGCCGAATAGCGCTCCGGGAGCCCCTGTGTGGAGTGTCAACGCGACGAAGCTTAGGAGAGTTCGTTTAATGGTGACCTGTTGAAGTGCTGCGAACCAGCTGCCGCCTGTCGAGGCGCCTTCCTGTCCAAGCGCCGGCTTCGACGAGCTGCTGGGGCCCGGGCCGCTCGGAGGCTGCTTGAGCAAGGGCCAACCCCTCGGCACATCCGCTTTCAAGGCAGAACAGAGGGGGCCAGCAGGTCGTGGCTGACTCAGGCAATTTGATATGCGCAAAACCAGGATTCAAACCTCAAACAGAAACATCCCACCAGGAGGTATACGCCGAGTGCCGCGTGGGCGGCCGCTGCGCATCGGCGCATCGATTGGTGGAACGCGGGATCTGAAAACGCCGACAGAATCTCGGACGCGGGAACGACCGGCGCCGGCCCCTGACCCTGCTGCGGATGCTGCGAGGCGCCCCGCTCCTGCTCCTGCCGCGCCCGGCGCGGCCGCCACGGCTCCTGGGCCCACACCGTCTGCCGCCAGCGGCGCCCGCCGGCCCCTTCATGCGTCGCATCCGCCGCATCCTCGGACTCCTCCCCTTCCTCGGACGCGCTGCCAGACAGCCCGGCCTGGCCCCAGCTGTCCTCACTCGCGTCGCTGCTGCTTCTGCTGCTGTTGCTGCTGCCCTGATCCTTGGCGCCCCCGTCTCCGGCGCTGCCTCCGCCCGCGCCTGGGGCAACCCCTCCAGGCCGCCCGCCCGCAGCTTGGTGGCCGCTCGCGGCGCCGCCGCCATGCAGGAGCCACTGGAGGGCCGCCCAGCGTCCAGCCAGGCCGCCGGCGCCGGCGCCGGCGCCGGCGCCGTCCTTGCTGACACTGGCGCCCGGCGGCGATGCGACGCCCCAGAGCAAGTCCTCAATGCGCTGCAGCCCGCCGCCGCCGCCCGCCGTTACCAACACCTCCTCGTCTTCCAACCAATCCTTGTCGCCTGGAAGCGAGACGCCCAATGCTTCACAAGATAGCAGCTTCCCGGCAGCTTCCATCACAGCGGCCGCCACGCCGCCCAGGCCAACACACAGCGGCCTGCACACGTGCGCGCGGCCCCACACAAACAGCCGGCCTGCGCCCGCCCTGGTGGCCGCGCCGGCGCAAGGGGCGTCGCCGCTCGCCAGATGCAAAGGGGTTGCGCTGCCGCCGCCGCCGCCGATACTGCTGCTGCCGCCCAGCAGCCGCTCTGTCTCTGCCTGTAGGCGTTGTAGGTCGTCTGCTGCGCCGGGCCCTCCGCTGCCGCCGCCGCCGCTCCAGATAACCGGGTGCAGCACCGGCGGCGCGGCCGACAGCAGCGCCGCCGCGGCCGCTGCCTCTGGAGTGTGGCTGCCGCCCATGCCGGAGCCGCCGCCGCCGCCGTTCCCGCCATTAAGGTGTGCGTGCGCCATCAACCGCTTGACCTGCAGCAACATGTGCAGCTGCTGCGCGGCGGCCGGCAGCGGGCCGAGCAGACTGTCGTCCGTGGCAACCGCAGCCGCCGCGTCCGGGCCCGCTGGTGGCGGAGGCTGCGCCGAGAGGGGCTGGTGCGGCACGAGTAGCACAACAGTTTCGGCGGAGCAGAACAGCAGCAGGGCTGCCTCCAGGGCGGTGCGGCGCGCGGCGTACGCGGCGCCGGGGTCCGGCTGCTGCTGCTGTTGCTGCTGCTGCTGCTGCTGCTGCTGCTGTGTCGGAGGCGGCGGCGACGGCTGCATGGCCAGGCCAACCAGCAGAGCCCCGCGGCAGCCGTCCCGCAATGTCAGGAGCTGCGCGGCGCCACCAAACGGGCCCTGCAGCGCAAAGGATCAATTGGAAAGACAATCCTTCAAAGACTGCCGTGCAGGTATTCATGCGGGCAGGCCGCAGGCCAGCGTCAGCAACAGGATTGGCAGTCAACCGCTCAAACCTCCCCTGCCCCCTATCATCCCGCTGCGCCACGGCTGCCCACCTGCGACGGCAGCCACTCCCGGCGGCATTGCGGCGCCGCGAGGTCGCTCGCCGCCAGCAGCGCCGCCTCCACATCCGCGGCAGCCTCTCCTGCGGCGGTAGGAGCGCAAAGTGGTGCATTGGTGCATGCCCAGGGTGTGCGCGGATGGATACGCCGCGCGTCGCCGCTCCCATCAAGCCATGTACCGGTCTGCCTGATCGATTCTCAGAGACCTATCACCTATGAACGCGATCATGTGGGCTACTTCATACTTGGCACTGGCGAACTGTTCTGATCGCAGTAGACATGTGGTTGTACACAATGATGATACGCAATACCATCAATAATCACCAGCAAAAGCCTCATGTGGCATAACGCCTGATGTGCCAGGCGGCAGCGTCACCAGGTGCCGACCTGCTGCTCATCAGGGTCCAGGCCAGCCTGAGCCAGATGCACCTCCCCGCTATCCGAGGCCAGGCAGGAGCGTATGCGCTGTCTGCACAGTACCACCACCGCAATTGCATGAGGTGATTTCTCAGGAGCACAGCTTCCTAGGACCTTCCCAACCCGCATGCCCGCCCTTGTCTCTGCTTGCTGACATCGAAGCCACGTGCGGCGCGGCCGCCACCAGGCCGGCCTCGCGCTGTCGCGCAGCGCCCGCCGGCGTCAGACCATACGCAGCGCCCCCTCCGCGACCTACAAGCACTGAACCCAACGTGATGAACCAACTGCACAACAAGGCCGTCCCCAGCATCGGGCATGATGATGAAGCGCGTACAACATGATTACGACATCTACATGCAAGCCCGTGGATGCTCACGCATGCGGGCACCGACGCAAGCGAGGCGTGAACAGGACCCAGCAGGCCTGGTTTGTGGCCTGCTGAAACCCAGCTGCGAAGTTGTGCATTGGTGCATTGGTCCATGCCCAGGGTGTTCGCGGATGCATACCCCCGGTCGACGCAGCCACGGCTTGGAAGCCGACGTCCGGAGAGCGGTGCGTGGGCGCAGAGGGGGGTCAATGCAGTTGCCAGGGTAACAGGGTAGAAGTGGGCTGATTTGCCTGCTGCGGTGGTAGTGCGGATGCCGGTGGCCTTGCTGAAGGCGTGAGCTTCGGCTACAGAACTGCGCAGCCAAAAGTACATGCTAATGTACAAAGACAACACAGACCATTAACAAATAATCATCATATTGCGACGGCACATTCCAGGAATCAATTCAACGCAATCAACACCGGTAGCGCACGCGCACGCGGTCGCGCGAGGGTGACATGTGGTGATACAGTGTGAGCGCGCAGGGAGGCGCGGATTGCGTGGGTGCATCCGACAAGTCGATGGGGGTGGCATGCGGCGCGCGTGATGAACGCCGCCCTGTGCAGGATAGTTGAGTGGTGCGCTGGTGGGGAGGTGCTCCTGCCTCTGTGGACCAGACAGCTACCTCAGTAATGAGACGGCGCCTTGCTGCTGTGCAGGACAATGGCGGCCTAAGATGCAACTGCAAGTGTCGGGCCTTGGTCAAAGGATGGACAGCCACATAGCATCTAATCACAGGTCTGGGCGCACAAACATCGTGTTTATGGTTTCTGTGATAGAAGTAACACCTCACAAAACCGAGCGGGAGGGCGACGCAGGTTTAACCATTGCTGCATGCGCCGCCCGCCGCGCCTGCTCCTCGCGGCACGCCGCCTTGTGCGCCGGCCAGTAGCCCTTGTAGCATTCGTCAGAGCAGAACCATGCCAGACGGCAACCGCGGCACATGTGCAGCCGTGCTCCCGCAGTGCCCTCGGCCGTGCGGCACGCGGCGCACGCTGCCGTTTGCCGGCACGTGGCACCCCTGCAGCCCGGCTGCTGCTGCTGCTGCTGCTGCTGCTGCTGCTGCTGTTGCTGCTGAGTCAGCTGCGGCTGCAGTGGCTGCTTCTGCTTGTGCTGCTGTTGCTGCTCCTGCTGCTGCTGCCAAAGCTGCTCTTGTTGCTGCTGGACCTGTTCCTGTTGCGGTTTCAATTGCGCGGCGGATGTGGCCTCTGATGATGCAGTGCAATCCTGCTCCGTTTCCTGCTGGTGGTGCTGCTGCTCATACTGCTGCTCCTGCTGCTGTTCCTGCCGCTGTCTTTGCAGTCCCCGCTGCTTCGACAACTGATCCCAGGCGTCACTGACGCGCAGCTCCGCCAGTGCCACGCGCGCTTCCGCCTCCACAATCGTCGCCGCTTCGGCGCCGGCCGACGCCGCCTCGGCGGCCAGCCGCACGATGGCCTCCAAGGACTGCTCTGCGCGCACAATCGCCGCTGGCGCCTCAGCCTGCCCTGTGGCGGCCTGCCCGTCACTGCCCGGCGAGCCTGGCTCATCCGTCTGATCTTGATGTGACCCGCCACTCCTCGTGCTGCTGCCGCCGTCGTCGCTGCCGCTGTCACCAAATCGACCGCGGCTGCCGCCCGCGCCGCATTGCGCCCACTCCGCGGACGCCCACTCCTCCACAGCTTTCAGGAGGTCAGCCCCCTTGCCTGACATGCAAACATCCAGGCTTGCTGACTGGGAAGCCACAAACGCGAGCGCCCCCGGCGTTGCGGCCAGGTCGCCCCTGCTCGTCCGCCGGAAGTCGCAGAGCAGCTGTATCCCCGAGATGCAGGAGGCGACGCGCTCGTCCACCAGCGCCGCCCAGGCGCGCCGCCGCAGGTCTGGCCCCTCTGTTGCGGTGCCGCCCGCGATCGACGCATGTTGCTGCTGCTGCTGCTGCTGCTGCTGCTGCTGCTGCTGCGCCTGCTGCTGCGCCTGCTGCTGCGCCTGCTGCTGCTGCTGAGGGAGGCTGTAAGCCAGCACTGCTGCAGCAAGTGCAGTCATAGCCTTGCTCTCGCCAGCGAGGCCCGGCACAGCCAGCGCGTCCGCAACCAGCGGCATGGCCCCCAAGGCGTGCAGCGCCCCGAGCCAGCGACCGGCCCTATCCCCGCCGCCAGCCCGAGCGCCGCCGCCGCCGCTGCTGTCGGCGCTGCCGATTAACTGCGCCTCAACAAAGGCCACCATCGCCATCAAGTCCCAGATGCTGGCCAGGATACTACCTTCTTCACAGGCAGCGTCTCCATCGGCGTTAACCGCCGCAAGCCCCATTCGCGCGGCGCTGACCAGCGCGGCTGCCGCGCCCGGCGCAGCAGCGACACAGCTGCCGCGCGGGGGGGCGCCACGTCGCAGCTCGGCGCGGGCCGCGTGCGCCAGGAAGCGGGCAGCTTGTAACACCGCAGGCGCCGCAAGGACGTAGGGGGCCCTGTCTACCCCAGCGCCGCCCGCGTGACAGGACGACTGGCCGATGAAGCCGAGTGCGTGCCTTGCCAGCGCCCCGCCGCAGGCTGCCAATATGGCGTCAGTGGGGCCGGCGATGGTCAACATGCGAATCGACTGCCAGATCCAAAGCGACGTTCCGCGGGGCAAGCTGGACGCCCGCGCCGTGGCCGCGAGCAGCGGGAAGAGGAGCGCCGCGCGCACTGCGGCCTGCGCGGCGAGCGCTGCCATGGCCGCAGCGTCTTCGCGCATGGCGAGGGGCAGGAGTCCCGCCAGCAAGACGGCGGGGAGCGCGGCGTCCCCGCCCTTGGCCAGGCGCGAACAGATGACTTCAAAAGCGCCGCCCGCCGCAGCCTGCAGCAGCTCCGACCACGCCGCGAGCGCCGCGGCGCCTTCTGCGCTGAGCGCGACCCCAGCCGCCGCAGACTGCTCTTCGGCGTTGATGAACATGTCGGTCACCGTAATGATCAGCTGCAGAGGATCGAACTCCGCAAGCAGCGCGCTGCCAAGGCCCGCTGGGCAGCCTTGCGGTAGGGTGGTCATCGCCGCGGCCACCAACACAGCCTCGAGTGTCCCCTTGGGGCGCAAGGCGGCGACCGCAATGGCGAGCCTAGCATCCGTCACCGCGTCGCCGCGAAGCAGCTGAGAAACGAGCAGGGTGAGCGCCAGCAGCCGCGCGTGAGCGCGCCGCCCAAGGATACCACCGCCACCAGGATCGCACGCGCCGGCCGCAACCATGGCCACGGCTGCGCGCGCGGCGGCGGCGCCGGCTGCTGCGGCGCACTCGGGGCAGCGCAGGGGCGCGCAGCTGGCCCATGTTTTGGCGTCGTCGGCCACACTGGCCAAAAAGTCTATTACAAGGATCTGCGACAGATGGGATGGCGGCTGAGCTGACGGCAGGCCCAGTAAGGGTGCGCTCACCAACTCCAGACCGAGCGCAGCGGCTCCCGGCTGGATGCCACTGCGATGCGCTCAGGTGGAGGTCAAACTGCACAGCTCAATCGCACCTCTTCTTTAGCCAGCTTGTCCTTAGCTTTGTCGACAGCAGCGCGCGTGCCGCTCGCGCCGCCTGCGCTGACGCAACGCGCCAGCACGCCGTCCAACACATCTTTGAACACTGCAGGGCTCAGGGAGTCCGAGCCTTGAATGATTTGCTCCAGCAGGTTGGACCGAGAGGTGTCCAACTCCCGCACCAAGCGAACCGCGGCTGGGCCGTTGCGGGCCTGCAGGGCCGCGGCGATCTCGCCTAAGATGCTGTCCATGGTGAACGTGATGAACGAATGCTCTGTATTTCAGATTGACCGTGTACAGTATCTGCCGCGCATGATACGGTATCACCAGACGGACGCGCCGCAGTACCAAGCCGCTGCTAAGGGCTGCAGGAGCTTCGCCCTGGACTGGTGCGGCCGGCGCGCCCACCATGGCTTCTGGGCCCAGACCGTCTGCCACCAGCGGCACTCGCCGGCCTCTCCGTGCATCATGGCCAGCAACATCCCAGTCCTCCTCTTCCTCGGACGCGCTGTCAGATCGCCCGGGGTGCCCCCATCTGTCCTCACTAAGGTCGCTGCTGCTGCTGTTCATGCTCAGCAGGCGCTCAGCCTCTGCCTGGACCTGTTGAGGGTGTTCCGCCACACCGCGCCCGCCGTCGCCGTTGCCACCACGCACGTACGGAGTGCTTCCCCTGTCGCACTGGTTGCTTGGGCCCTCCCCGCCCGCGGTCTCGCCGCGTCTCGACTCAGACCCTGACGTGATCACGGTATGCAGTGCAGGTGCCACCAGGCCGGCGTTGCGGCTCCGAGCAGTGCCAGCAGCATCAGACCACGTGCAGCGTTCCCGAGGCGGCCCAGAAGCACGCACTGGGACGTGATTGACCCTGCTCCGCGAGCCGCAAGACAAGGCCTGCCGTCCCCATCATTATTGGATTACCCACCGTATGACGCACGCTCACGATATCAAACCTGCCGTTACTGAGGCTCCCGCGTAACACGGTTCTCTGGGTGGGGTTGCCGCTCAATTTGTTATGCGGCGGGTAGCCCCGCCCCCCGGAGCCCTGAATGGTCACTGCGCCATTGCTACCAGAACCCTCACCAGCGCCTGCATGTACCAACTCAAGCAAGGCTTGGATGGTTGCGGCTTGGATGGAACTTGGCAGGTTGGGTCCTGGCCTGCAGAGCCTGCAGTGAGGGTGGCGTGTGACGGAGGTTGGGCCGCCTGCCCCAATCAAGTTCGCCGCTTTGTACACAGATTACTCAACTTAATCCTGGCAGGGGGCAGTGCAAGACCAGCATGCAGTCAATAGCCACTTTGCCCAGCAATGCGCAAGGTGTGCGAGCGAAGGGGGGGGGGTGTAAGTGACGACGACACGCTGTGGTGTGGAAGACGGTGGTGGATTGGACAGGCTCGCAACGCGGCTGGTAGTGGAAGACGAACAAAACACGCAGATGCTGTTTTGCGGGGAGTGGGTGGCAGGTGGGCTGATTTGCTAGCTGGTGTCGGTGTCCTTGAAACACGCGCGAACTTTGCCACTGACAGCGCGGTCAGTGGTGAAGTCAGACAGACAAGCACTTGTGATAACATGCAAATCAGCACAAAAACGATGCCAGAACCAACTAACACAAGGAATCACACATCAGGTAGGGACATGCAAGGAAGCAAAGCAAGCAAACTTTCTTGACAGCGCATGCATGTGCACGCGGTCGCGCGTGGGTGGGATGAGGTAATGCAGGGTGAGCACGCAGGGAGGCGTGGGTTGAGGGGTGCGTGCGGCAGGCAAGAAGGGGTGGCATGCAGCGTGCGCAATACGCACAGCCCCGGCAGCACAGGTGACTGGTGTACAGCGACTGGTGGTGATATGCTCCTGTCGCTGTAGACAAAACAGCCGCCTCTCGAAACAACGTCTCATCAGTGTGCCGGACAATGGTGGCCTGAGATTCATGTGTGTTTGTCTACAGTGTGGACTATAATACATGACTAAGGTGCAGGTCTAGGTGCACAAAATCGTCCATTAGCTATGTGACATCAGCACCGCCACGCATTTCACAGCCTGAGGGCTACGCGGGCCCCGCCATCGCCGCCTGCCCCGCCCGCCGCGCCTGCTCCTCGCGGCACACCGCTTTGTGCGCCGGCCAGTAGCCCATGTAGCACTCGTCAGAGCAAAACCACGCCAGACGGCAGCCGCGGCACAGGTGCAGCCGCGCGCCTGCGGCGCCTTCGGCCGCGCTGCACGCAGCGCATGCTGCGATCTGACGGCAGGTGGCACCCCTGGAGCCCGGCTGCTGCTGCTGCTGCTGCTGCTGCTGAGGCTGCTGCGGCGGCTGCTGCTGCTGCAGCTGCGGGTGCTGCTGCTGCGGGTGCTGCTGCTGCGGCTGCTGCTCCTCCTGCTGCCGCTGCAGCGGCGGCGACGGCTGATGCTGCTGCGCCGCCTGGGGCTGCCGTGGCTGTTGTTGTTGCTGCTGCTGCTGCTGCTGCTGCTGCTGCTGCTGCTGTTGCTCCGGTTGCTCCGGTTGCTCCGGTTGCTGCTGCTCCGGTTGCTGCTGCTCCCGTTGCCGTTGCTGGGGCGATTTCGCTGCAGATATGGCCTCGGCTGATGCAGCGCAATCCTCCTTCGCCTGCTGCTGCTGCTCGCTACGCTGCTCCTGCTGCTGTTCCTGCCGATGTCTTTGCAGTTCGCGCTGCTGCGCCGCCTGCTCCCAGGCGCCACTCACCCGCAGCTCCGCCAGCGCTGCGCGCGCCTCCGCCTCCACTGCTGTTGCTGAGGCGGCGCCGGCCGCCGCCGCCTCGGCAGCCAAGCGCAGGAGACCCTCCAAGGACCGCTCTGCGCGCTCCACCGCCGCCGCCGCCTCAGCCTGCCCAGCGGCTGCCTGCTCCCCGCCGCCAGTTGGGCTCGGCTGGTCTGCCTGTTTCTCATTTGGCCCGCCACCCTTCTTGCAGTTGCCGTGATTGTTGCTGGTGTTGTCGGCCCACCCGCTGCGGGCGCCGCCAGCGCCGTGCTGCGCCCACTCTGACGCCGCCCACTCCTCGACGACTCTCAGGAGGTCAGCCCCCTTGTCCGCCTCGCGGGCGTCCAGGCTTGCTGCCTGGGAAGCGGCAAACGCGAGCGCCCCCGGCGTCGCAGCCAGGTCGCCCCTGCCCGCCCGCTGGAAGTCGCAGAGCAGCCGCATCACCCTAACGCTGGTGTTGGTGCGCACGTCCACCAGTGCCACCCAGGCGCGCCGCCGCACGTCTGTCGCGTCTGTTTCGGTGCCGCCCGCGGTTAACGCCTGCTGCTGCTGCTGCTGCTGCGCGTGCTGCGCGTGCTGCGCGTGCTGCGCGTGCTGCGCGTGCTGCGCGTGCTGCGCGTGCTGCGCGTGCTGCGCGTGCTGCTGCTGCTGCCGCTGCAGGTCCTGCTGCTGCTCAGGAGAGCTGTAAGCCAGCACTGCCGCAGCAAGTGCAGTCATAGCCTTGCGTTCGCCCGCAAGCCCCGGCACGGCCAGCGCATTGGCGACCAGCGGCAGAGCCCCCAAGGCGTGCAGCAACCCCAGCCAGCTGCCGGCCCTAATCCTGTCCTCGCCACCACCGCCGCCGCCACCACCGCCGCCGCCGCCGGTGCTGTGGTCCACCCGAGCCTCAACGAAAGCCACCATTGCCATCAACTGAAATATGTTGGCCAGGATAAGGCCCTCGACGCAGGCGGCGTCTCCCTTGGCGCGCACCGCCGCAAGCCCCATTCGTGCGCCGCAGACCAGCGCAGCTGCCGCGCCCGGCGCGGCCGCGACGCAGCTGACGCGCAGCGCGGCGCCAGGTTGCAGCTCAGCCTTGGTCGCGTGCACCAGGAAGCGCGCGGCTTGTGAGGTCGCTGCAAGAACGTATGGGCCTCCGTCGACCTCGGCGCCGCGCACGCGGCGGGCGGACTGGCCGATGAAGCCAAGCGCATGCCTTGCCAGCACCCCGCCGCAGGCTTCCAAGATAGCGTCGACGGGGCCAGCGATGGTCAGTTCGCGAATCGCACGCCAGATCCAAAACGGCACATGCGGCTCCAAGCCAGGCACACGCGCAGACGCCGCAAGCAGCGGGAAGACGCGCGCTGCGTGCGCCGCGGCCGCAGCAGCGAGCGCTGCCATGGCCGCTGCGTCTTGCCGCACGGCGATGGGCAGGAGCCCCGCCAGCGAGGCGGCGGGGAGCGCGGCGTCCCCGCCCTTGGCCAGGCGCGAACAGATTACGTCCCAAGCGGCCCCCGCCGCGCTCGCCAGCAGCGCCGGCCACGCCGCGAGCGCCGCGCGCCCCTCCGCCCCGAGAACGGCCCCGCGCGCCGCCGCCTGCTGCTCGGCGGTGATGAACACCTCTGTCAACGCGACCATCAGCTGCACAGGATCAAATTGCTTGCACAGTTCACGGCTAAGGTCCTTTGGGCATTCTTGGGGTAGGGGGGCCAGCAGCCCCGCTAAGAACACGGCCTCGAGCGCCCCTGGCGGGCGCAAGGCGGCGACTGCCGTGGCGAGCCTCGCGTCCGTTGTGAACTCCTCTCGAAGCAGCTGAAACATGAGCATGGCAAGCAATAGCAATCGCACGCGCGCAAGCTCCGCGCGGGCGCCGCCGCCG